GAACAGGTTGCAGTGAAGCCAGAAGATGAAGACAGAAACCCGGCTACTTGAGTACTTTAGACCAGAGAGGTACGTGGAGGAGGCAGGAGTACATCTGGAGACTAGACAGATTGCGGTATATGGTTTGGAGATGAAGCAGAAAGGGTTTACAAATGAACTAAACAAAAAGGGCCAAGGCAAGAAGAATAACCTCAATGTTTTAAACTTGAACAGCTGAAAGGATAATGGTTTCGTTTACTGCAACAGAGACGATCGTGGGACAGACATGTTTGGGGTTGGAAGAGGAGCAGAAGGGCTCTGTTTTGACCAGCTGACATTTCTGATGACTGTCACATTCCCATTTAGAAAGGGTCAGTAGGCACCTGGATGGGAATCAGGAATTGTGGGGAGTCCCTTTTCCCCTTTCTCTAGCTTCACAGGAGATCGGCAATGAAAAACAACGAGGAAAATAGCTCTTAGAAGGCACAATGTGAGTGCTCTGTACCAACAGAATACAGTGGGACACTGTGCGCTTCATGAAACCATTCCACTTATAAACTGAAGCACCGTCCTTGCTGAGGCTAATAGCACAGAAAGAGAGTAAGCTTTAGGTCAATGAGAGTCATGCCGAGGGAGTTAAACCATATCATGTGGCCTCCATTTCCTAAATCTTATAAGATTACAGGGCAGGACCTAGTAAGAAGAGATCAGAGCTCCACAGGATACAATTTACAAGTGCTTCCGAAAATTCCATCCTACTGGAAGGGAGCCCAACGCATACCAATATAGGACAAAAAATATCTTCTAACTACACATAAAATAATGGCTGCTCTCTGCTGCCTGACAGGAGTATCCATGGAAACTGTCAGGAACAATTTCTTTAGACTTAGAGTGATTATTGACAAAAATGAAATGGACTTAGAGTAAAATAAAAGCTACATTCTGAGTAATCTGATTCAAGCTAGTTGTATTTCAGCACAAGTTTTCTTAATCAAATGGCTACTTGGATAGATATCAAAATAAGGGGAAAAGATAAGCAACCATATCTGTTTTTGTGTAAGTCCAACTCTTATATGCGTAGTAGCGATCCTGTAAAAGACATGTGCTTTCAGGAAAGGAAAGGGAAGAACTCAAGTGTGCTGGTAGCTACTAAACAGCACGTGTTTTGCATCTAACATCTTACTTAATCCTCACACTAATGCCTCCGGGTAGGTTTTATTATCCCCATTTTTACAGAGAAGGAAAACAATACCAAAGATGTAAAGTAACCTCCTCAAGTTCAGGTAGGAAACCATGGCAGGATTACATTCACATATAGCTGAACACAAAATGTACACTTTTCCCCCTAGGCTTGTAAAGGGGAACACAACTGACAACAGCCCAGGAGCCTCAGGCCTACAGCCTCTTAAAGCCACAAGAACCTTTCTGATTGGCTGACTGCTAAATTAGGCTGCAGACAAGAAAGACTACTATAGAACGTCTAAAAAGAAGAGTGTGTCAAACCTGTAAAATACAAAGTTGAGTTTGGCCCAAAATATGCAACAAATCTTTACCAGGTACTGATATGCCCATCACATCAAATCAATACAAGAAAATTAATCAAAGAACTTAAAAAGACATCAGTAAGCGAAAAAACTCAAGTCACATGCTGATAAACTCACTTAGATGCTGTAAACCTAGCCAGCCAAGATAGAGATAAGCTGGGCCGGCCGAGTGGCGCGATGGTTAAGAACTCGCTTGGGATGCCAGAGGGCCCCTGTTCGGATCCCACATATGAGGGCCAGTAACACTGCCCTCTACAGCTAAGATGCTGAACAACAGCTCAACCTGGAGCTGGGCTGCCATGAGTCGCCGGCGACGGCGTAACGTGGCCACAGTCCCTGTGGCAGTGGGTTGCCATGGGCTACCGTATGTAGCCAGCAGCCAGCGTGAGCGGCCAGCAGCCAGCGTGAGCGGCCAGCAGCCGCAGTGAGCGGCCGTCCAGAAGCCGGCGACTGATCTGCCTCGCCAGGGAAGAGCGCAATGATGGTGCCAACTTGGGCCAGTGAAGCAACGTCCTCAACAACTAGATTGAGGAACAAAACGACAGCAACTTGTCTGTTCCCCTTCCCCCAATTCCCTAGCACTGTTCCCATTCCCCCAATTCCCCCAATAAACTTTAAAAAAAAAAGAAAAAAAAAAGATAGAGATAAGCTGATGATGCATTTTAAGGAGAGTTTTTTTTTTTAATTTTGAAGGAAATAAATCCTTTTTCTTTATTTTAAAATTCAAGTACAGTTGACATACAATATATTAGTTTCAGGTGTACAACATAATGCTTTGACATTTCTATACCTCATGCATTGATCACCACAATATGTCCCGTACTATCTGTCACCATACAAAGTTATGACGATATTATTGACCATTTCCCTGTGCTGTACATTATATCCCTGTGACTTATTTTATAACTGAATATCTGTACCTCTTATTCCCTAAAGAGTAATTTTTAAAATTATCTTATCATCTAAGAATAAAAGTAAAAATGCCAAGACATTTCTTAACTCATCACAAAATGCTACAATTACTCCAAATAATTGAACCGTAATGCCAGCATAACTGCTGTAGCTGACCAAGTTAATGCGTTATAGAACTGTGGTAGGCACATGAGAAATCAAAGCATTCTGAGGATGCTACACTCCTTCCCTAATAATTAATGAATTTATTGTGGCTGTGGAATTTGCCTATAAATTCATTGTCTTGTACATTTCACCCCACACGGTTCTTTAAAGAAAAATCTGGACATTCATTGGGTCCTAGACTTACTGGGGTGATCACTTTGTAAGTTATATAAATGTCTAACCACTATGTTGTACACCTGAAACAAATATAATATTGTATGTCAACTGTAATTGAAATTTTTAAAAATTTTTTAAAGAAAGAAAGAAAGACCTGGACATCCAGACCTCTCTTTGGATTTAAGCAGTGAAAACAAGACAAATTATATTCAACCTGACACATTAGCAGTCGGAGCACAACTCAAGCATGCACACTCAGAAATGCAGGACACACACTAAATTCAACAAAGAGGAGAAACAAAGACAAAATAGCAGAAACAAATTCAGGAGGAATAAGAGGGTTAAAATGCATAAAATAATCTAGGTACGTTGGAAACTAAATTTCCAAAAGTAAGATACTGGCTTTCATTTTTGGTAACATTGGAGAGTTTCTTGCTAAAAGTACCAGGGAAAGCTCAGCTGTGAACCCGGGACATACTTTAAAATGATTATTAAATGAAATAACTCCATAAAACTCTCCTACAAAGATAATGTCCAATGAACTACAATAGTGGAAAACAATCATGTCCAACATAAATGCAGTCTTTCTAAATTGGTAAATAAACTATAAAGGCAAACTACTCTGAGTGTTTAACAGTTAAAAAGTTTTAAGTATTTCTTTAGAGTCATTACTAAGTTTTGGTTAGAGGAACCCAAAAAAAGTGTAAATGTTGAAAGTCATTAATAAGGAATCAGTCTTTAAAATGGCTCATAACAGTGAAGTTTAGAATTTCTCTGGTTTGTTTCTCGGTGCATTCTATTTTGATCTAACAATGTGGTACTGGAAAAGCTCCTTGTTTCTGACTTCGAACGCCCCATGTAATGTTAAAGCACAGTTCTTATAGGTGTTGAAATTTTCAGGATGACTGATGCATAGAAGCTTATCTTAGCATTCTATTTCCCCATAACTGCTAAGTGACTGCTAGTGCTGAAAACGCAGCAAGCCCTTATTTGGACAGCCAAAATGGAAACAGAGCCTGGTACCGAACAAAAACACAGTCCAAAGATATATGTCCTCTCATTCTTAGTGCAAAGATTAAATCAGAAATCCATTGGCAATGCTATATGTAATACACTATTTTGTCATTTTAGCTGATGATAACTTAAGACAAGAATCATTTTCGTTCCTTAAAGTATAAGCTTTGTTAGCTCCTGTTTATGATTCTTCCCTAAGATAGTTCTTATTTCTTTTCTTCAAGACTTTCCCTCAATCTTGCCAAAACAGGGCTTGAAATAGAAATGGAAATAAAAGGGGGAAGTTCTTCTGCATGGTTATGGTGAAGCCAGAAAGGAAAGTTTTCAGTGTCACTGTTTGGCTGGCTCATCTCACATTCAGCTGTCAATGGGTCCTGCAGCTTGACTAGTCTGCTTAAGGTACACTGGAGACAAAGCAGACTCTTGCCAACAGGCATCTCCCAAGTGTTCACACACCAACAGGTTTTCAATGGCCCAAGGTGAGTCACAACCTACAGGAAAAGCCCTAAAGACTTCATTCTTCATTTCAGCCCCAGGTTCACTTAACAAAGCCCCTTCCTTCTGTCAAGTGAGACTGGATACATCCCAAGGCCTGGCTTCCAAACGGGAATCCACAAAGGGTCTTTCCTGGATGCATGAATCTCCTCCCAGTTGTTTTCAAATCATGGGCACTCACCTAGGGAGCAATTCCACAGTTTGCATCCAGCTTGCAAGGGTCTCACCAGCATGACAGCCGAAGACCCACTGCACCAACATTTCCTGCTGCCCTTACACCAAGAAGCCATGGGACAGAAGGCAAAGCACATGGCCTTGAAACGGAATAGTGTCTCAAGAACTGAGGCAAGTTTCTTCACCTCTTCCCCAAGTAAACTTCCCTTTCCTGTCTATGAAAATGTATATAAAAATACCTACTTCACAGGGAGCTGAAGAGCAAATAATTGGGATGCTGACCAAAAACTCCTCTTAAAACGTTATTTCCATGATGCAAGAAGACAAAGATTAAAGAAGCTTTCTGTGTACTCATTTGACAACTGAAACTCAACTTCTCGTGCCCATACAACATTCAGCATACAGTGCAAACTTGAGCCTAACAATAGCAGAACAATGGTGTTCAGGCCTGGGCCCACCAAAGAGGTATAAAATCAAAACAGTATCATATGGCGACATGAAACTTCAGAAACAAAGGTATTTAAAATTACCAATTGACCCTTTGGGGGTCTTCACACTTACCAGACCTTAAGAGAGCTGGTGGAGAAGGGATGACAGCATCAGGTGAGCTGGCCATTTCAAATTGTTGATTCTAATCATAAGCGTCACAGGCTAAACTACAGCAATTTTCAAAACTGTTTAGTGAAGGTTAGAAGCAATCAGCATTAGATTAATTGAAAGCAGTGTGAGCAGTCATTAACACCATGCACTGTGCAACAAAGACAATAATTGAGCTTCATTATAATTTTATTTTCTCTTTTATGACTTGAAAATTTGATTTCCTTTGTTTTGGTAAGTTACATGTGCTTATACAGATTAGGCAGGAAATACATAATGTCCACTTATTAAACATTACATAAGAGTAGCATCCTCTATTGAGCAGTGAAATGATTATGCTACTATGTAACAATGCTCAGAACCCTGGAGTCCTAACACGTTAGTACCAGTTTCAAACAAAGCTGATTACAGATTCTTCTAAAAGTAACAAGAATCAGTCTGTTTTCAACCAATCAGAATGTCAGCGATTCACTGAGGAAACTTTATACTTCTGGGTTAGCAGAAGAATCTGAAGCCTCAACCAATTTGGAGTAATGACTTCAAAAGGTCGCTTTTACTACTGTGATATAAACATATAGGTACATCCAACATTTATACTATGCACTAAACTACTTTGCACATGAAACTGAATTTAAGCAACTGCATTCGACAATTAAGTAAAATTTAAATTTTTTTTTTCTCAGTTAAGAAAGGGGAGGTGTGTTTTCAAAGTTTACTGTTATGACATGCATTTCAGAGGAAATAAAGACTGGAGAAGAAAACAAACCTTATATGCTATTAGGGAAAGGAGAAATGCTTTTAAAATATATGCTGAGGCCAGAACTCGTTCCCAGTAAAAAGCTGTGGTTACTCTGTGTGACCAGATGTTGTCAATCCAACAACACTCTTTGTAACCCAGATAGATACATTGCTAGTGGTCAACTCAGTACTTCAATATGACATAAAAATTCTCAGAAAAAGTGTGAAATAAAACTTCTATATGTGACAATTCCAAGTAACTGGATTGGCCCTAAGGACTACTGTTTTGAAAACTTCTCTCATATTTTTTTGGCTGTTTTAATATCGCCCTAAGTAAATTAGTGCAAAACTTTTTTTAAGGTTTAAAAACAATGAAATTAGCAATCAAGACTGGGTAAATGTCTTCTGTGTGATTTATGAAATTAGATCTTTTCTTCAAATTAAAAAAAAGGGGGGGGGGCAGAGTGCACAACAGACAACTGAGAACTTCCTAAATGGGAAAAGCCCAAAAACATAATGGTAACACATTAACGAAGAAAATTTTTTCTTAGTATCAAAGCAAATGCAGAGTTGGTTTTCCCAGGGCTCGGCATTTCGGTGCTCTTATTGTAGCCTGGGAACGCTAACGTTTGCACCTCCCAACTCTGACACACAGTAACTTCAGTCCTTTAAAAGGGAAGATTCTAAGTTGCAGACTCGGGGCTCCACCATCTTCCCCGTGTATAGGCACACTTTTAGCTCACGGTTATATCCAGCCAGCCAGGAGGAAGAAAAGTTTCAATCCCGGCTCTCAGGGGACTTATCAGCCACAAGGGCTAACTTCAAAGTCGTGACTCTGCAATTTGAACGAGTCGGTTCAGGACACTTGTACTGGTAACAACTGTCTGCGCAGCAGCGTCGTGTGACCTCGGTGGCCTCGGGTTTGTGAGGTTCAAGTGGGAACGCGGTGCCCTGGGGCCATGTCTAAGAAGGGACCTGCTTCCTTCTGAGCCCTAATTGTGCCCAGCGTGACCCCCTTCGTGGCCCGAGCCCCGTCCCCGTCCCGCGGCCACACGGATAACGGGCCGGGCTCAGCACTTGGGAGGAATGTAAGGCAGCGAGCAGCCGCCGGGGTCTCGGGCCGGATCACAGGCATACGAGGCCATCTAACTTCTGGGACGGACACACAGGAGGGGGACACTCTCCCTCCCAGGACGGTGGCCGCCGTCTGATTTCTAAGAAGGAAGCCTCGGGGCGAAGTCGACGCCACCACCTACTTTCTGAGGGGGACACACACGAAACTGAGTTGGGGAGACATACACGGGGTAGCGTTGGGACCACCACTTAGTTTCTAGAGGTGGGGGGAGACATCAGGCGTAAGGCCGGACCGCCGGCTGCTTCCTAAGGGGCCACACGCGGGCGCGGGTTCATCCTAGGACACCCCACCTGCCTCCCGCCCAAAGCGCTCGAGGGGGAGCACCACCCGCGGGGCGGGGGGCGGGGGTGGCGCCCCAGCCAGCCAAACCTGAGCGCTTGGCCCGGGCTCTTCGTTCCAAGACCGTCCAGCTCACTTCGGCCATGAGCCCCGTCGCCCCCGCCATCGCGCTAGGGCCGCCGCCGCCGCCTAGGCCACCGCCCCCCGGCCGCCTGTCAACTCCGCCCGGCCGACCCCGCCCCCCCGCGCGACACTGTCGGGAAGCGCGCCGGCCGGAAGTGAGCGCGAGGGCGATTTTCAACCTAGCTCCTCGGCCTCCCGGGTGTCAGGGGGGCTAACCGCGCGGGAGAGTGAGAGCGGGGTCGGCGGCGGCTCGCACAAGCGTCGGGGCTGCGCCCTTTTGCTCTCGGCTGGCGGCGCGGTGCTTTCCGGCTGCCGTAAAGCGCGGCACTGAGCCTGCGGGCGGGGGCCGAGGGGCGGCGATGGCGGCGGCGGACCGGCTGCAGAGCTTCTGGCTCCTGTTGGCTCCGCTGCTGGGGGGGCTCGCGCTGCTGGGAGTCGGGCCGGTCCCGGCTCGGGCGCTGCACAACGTCACGGCCGAACTCTTTGGGGCCGAGGCCTGGGGCACCCTGGCGGCCTTCGGAGACCTCAACTCCGACAAGCAGACGGACCTCTTCGTGCTGCGGGAAAGTCAGTGCTTGCCCGACCCTCCCTCTGTCTGCTGTCCCTGTGCCCCTCCCGGTGTCCCCTACACCCCTTGCCCGGATGGCTGGTCCTCTTGCATTTCCCGACCTGTCTCCCTTTATCTCCAGCATCCTTGACAGCTTGCCCGTCTTCTCCATCTTTTCCAGCCCCAAGTCACGGCCCGACCACCCCACAGTTGGCTCTTCCCCACCCCCAAAGCCCGGGAGACACCCCCGTTTTTTCCCCGAGAAGCCCGCAGCCTTCACTCTTTCCCCCATGGAATCACCTGCCTTCCGAAGTTCTTCCTGGTTCCCAGGAGTCTGTGTCGCTCGCCTCTACGTTCTCTCCCAAAGGCCCGTCACTCCTTGCTGCCTTTCTTCCTCCAGCCTTCCTTCCTTTGATGAACTGGAAGTTTTTTCCCTAGGGGACTTCTTCCTTCCTCCACGTTTACCTAACTCATCCTTCCCTCCCTTTGTGGCGTCCCAGCTTTGTTGGAAGCTCCTGTGCCCTTCCAACGCCCTAAACACTCCACAACTCACAGCATTTTGCATGGGCCACTGATAAACGCAGCGTCTCCTTGGGAAAGGGTTCTCCAGCGCAGCTCCTCCTTCCCTCCTGGGCTGCCTCGTCTCATGTGCACCTGCCCCTGCCTGGCTTTGGTCACTACCCTGTCTTCCAGAGCTCTTCTTTCTTTGCCACCTTGAGGTTCTTGAGAGTCCCTTGCTTTCACCATGACGAAACAAACTTTTTTGTAAACCTTGATGCTGACCATGGGTCTTAGCATTCTTGAGTACCCACAGAACCTGACTGACAGGATCCTGGCCCAGATTTCTTGGGCCCTTGCAAGGACCCCAGAGTGGCTTGTGGACCCTGGATGTTTTGTATCTTCGTATGACTCCATATGTTGCAAAAAGGGCACCTCCTGCCACAGCTGTAGCTACTCCATCCAAACCCATACAGAGACTCTTAACTTTAAAGGTGGCTTATGTTTCATTAGAACAATTGCAAAAGTCTGTTCCAGTGAGTGCTCATTGAGTTCCAAGAATGCATCAAGCTGTGGGATGGTCCCATAGGAGCCACAAGGGTGGGGGGAGGGGCTCTTGGAGGATTCAGCTTTTTTGGCTTAAATATGTAATCATGTCCTTGTTACTAGTCAAATACCTACAGGAGTTCCTTTGTCCTTGGTGTGATGCATCTAATGAGCTAAACAGCCTTTATGAGGGGCTGCGTTGTTGGGTTTGGAGACGATGAGGCTTGACATACCGTATAGTTAGTTGTAAAGCATGCTGTTGATATGGTTCTTTTAAGTTAGCCGATCTGACTGGGCAGAAGCCATTGGCGTCAATTTGTCTGGACCAACTATATTTTCCACGTTCATCCTTCCTATATCTTTGCTGCTTTGAACATTGAACTTCTGATATGCTGTTAGGAATCCCCATTCCATTAGACAAATAGGACTAACCTTGAGAGGGCAAATAAAGTGGAGTAAAATAAAAGTTTTCTTGTTGAGAACAGGGCCCAGAAACTTCTAATAACCACTGGTTGGATGTCTTACCAGAAAACATCATTCTAATATCATATATTCACTTCTTTTAGGAAATGATTTAATCGTCTTTTTGGCAGACCAGAGCGCACCCTATTTTAAACCCAAAGTAAAGATATCCTTGAAGTAAGTACAAATGTATTTGTTTCTGTAAAACAGTCATAAGTGTCAATAGATATGCAATAGCTAGTTGTATTGTCTTTGAAACCAGTTTTACTCAGCTGTGGTATTGACACAAAACTGCTAGTTATGAGGTAATTTGTTAGGAAACAGTGAATGTGCCACAGTTTAAAACTGGCCTACTTGAAAAATAAATACATACATGTTGATGGACCCAGCTCTGTTCCTGTATAAACACCCTTCATTCCCTTGCTGTCTAATATCCTTTCTTGAATGTGTTCAGGATTGTCTGTCCCTCATCCTCCTGTGCCCTTGGGAGCAGCTCACTCACAGGCTTATCAGGCCGACTGTTTTGTGGGAGGTGGGAGAGGGGAATTTATGGGAAATGAAGGACTTGGGTTCCACTAAGTTAAAAAAAATTTTTTTTAATTCCCAATTAATTGTTTTTATTAATGCAATGTTGTTTTATATACAGGAGGTCCCTGAATAACGTTGTTTCATTCAACGTCTTTTCATTATAACATTGGTGAAATGCCATAGGCACTTAACTTTGGTTATATCAGTTAGCCTGTGGTAAAATTGGTTTCCTTCTATGTTGTTTGGCGTCAAGTCGAAGAACCTATCAGGAATGTTGCATGAGGACTTGCTGTATTTTTAAAATTTAGAAACTCTTTATTTTATTTATTTCAAATATTATTCAAAGTAAAAGTAACTATCCTTCACCCTTTTCCTCCCCCAGTCTCCTGTTCCTCTCTCAGATGCAATCACTTTGAAAACTTTTAGCTGTTTCTTCTGGTGGTTAGTTCCATACTTTAAAATACGTTTTTTTCACTGTAATTGAGTTATCATCTTCATCTCTTAGACTTTTTGTTAGCATATATAAGGATTTACCATCTTTAAATAATCTCCATCATTTCCATACAGGTATATCATCATTTTAGTTAAATCACTAATCATTGTTTACATTTTGACCATGTAGATTCTGTATACTTCAGAACCAAACAGTATTTCAGGTCTGTACAGTTTGTCCCTCCTGGAGTAAATGATTGCTTTTTAAAAAAATAAATTGCATAGTTTTTTGTGTACATATCTTTAGTTTCTTTGCAGATGTTCCCTCCTATCTGCCATATGCCTATTGTGCGTTTCTGTTTTCCCCACCGAGCCCCCTGCCCTCCTGCCCATCTGGATCATTCTCTGGGCCTTCTGCCGAGACTCATGTAGGGACTTGCCCTTGGCCATTCTTTGTTGGGTCCCTATTGCTTAGATCCTGGGCCGTTTTGCTCTTAGCTTCTTCAGTGACTTCACTGGACTACATCCTTCAGAACATTCCCGAGAAAGGATGCGTGGCATTTCCTTCCATGCCCCCAATTTTTTCCTACTCTTAACACTTTGATTAGCCTGTGGTCCCCTAGCTTCATTGGTTGCTGTTCTAAAATCCAGTGTTATTCTTTCTCCTAATCCTTAAAATGTGACCTGTTTTATTTTAATTTTGGAAGCTATTCCGTTCTCTTCATCCCTTTTGCTATAAAATTTCATGTAATGTGTCTTAGTGTGGATGATTTTTCATTTATTACACTGGGCCCCTTGAAGCTGGAGGCTTCTACCCTTCGGGCCTTTTTGAAATGTTCTTATATTTTTTCTTTGATAATTTTTTTGTTTCCTCTTTCAGGAATTCCTGTCAGTTGGTTAGTATACTGCCTGGGTCTATCCTTTATTCCTTTACTTTATCTGTATTTTTGTCATTTTGTTTTATTTTATTTTCCAGGAGGCTTTTTCAATTTTATCTTAATCCTCCTATTGAATTTTTTATGTTAGCTGCTGTCATATTTTTATCTCCAAGAAGTTTTCCTTGCTCTCTTATTCTTTTGTCTTAGCACGCTCTTCTTTTTTAATTTTGTTTTAATGGACACACTTCTCTTTTGTCTCCAAGTACTTTGAAGTTTTCTTTCCTCCCCTCTGTTTATTTTCTCTGTTTTCTTCAGATTGCTTATTGCTGTTTGTTTTGGCTCTCTTTAATTTTCATGGTTTTCTTGGAAAGGCAGAGGTGTCTATTCGTATTTAAAAGGAAGGCACTAGAAACTAATTTGGAAGCTGTTTGGATGGTGGGACTGTCTCCTGCCTCTTGCCATGAGTGTGGCTGATTGGGATCCTAGGAATAGGGTGGAGCTGGGGGCAAGGTGTCACACTGTTCCTTTTGTAGACTTGCCATTAACACCCTGTTTTTAGCTTAAGGCCAAAACCTTACCCTCTGCTATAACTTAAATCTCTATCTAAGGCCTGAGACTTCCCAGAAATAAACATGGTTTGGTTCTCGCCTGGCTCAGTGAGACAGAAGGAACCATCACTCACAATGCAGACTTTCATCTGAGCCTGTTTTCAGCCTTGTGTTGTCCGCTTCCTGATGACTCTTAATCCTGAGCCTCTCAGGGCTTCTTCAGGGCAAAAAGCTTTCCTTCTTGAGCCTTTTTCTTCAGACGCTTTAGCTGATAGTTTCCTTGTCCTGCTGAGTCAGTTAGCACCCTTCCATCTGCTGTGTCCTTTCATGATCTCCTTGTCTAAGTTTCCATCAAATCCTCTGTAGTATATTCCTGTCTATTTCAGGGCACTTTTTGACACCAAATCATGGAAGTGTTTGGATTAGTCTTCCTGCCATGTCTGTGCAGTATGTATTACTGCACATTAACACATGAAGACATACACATGTGGAGGTGTGCACCTTAGATACACTTTGCTACATAGTAGCATGTGCGGTTGCTACATCATCATTTTGAAAGACCAGGATTTTTCATGGAAAGGTTAAAGCATTGTTGGAATTCTCTGAGGAAACTGGCACCGCCAAAACTGTTTTATTGTCATGAGAGCATCAGTTTTAGTACCAACACAACTAACACTGTTTAACACTGGAAGCTACTTTAATCGCTCCAAACATCAGCATCCTACTCTGTTCAATGAGAATAATACCTAGTTCAGGCACTGAAAATTAAATTATCAGATATAGCTAGTAAGCACTTGTTATAATATCTGGGACAGAGTAAACCCCAGATTATAATAAGGCTAGCGTTGTATTGTTCACTACCTTTTCAGTATTTTCTTCATTTCACTTTAAATAAAACATATATATATATATATATGTGTGTGTGTGTGTGTGTATGTGTGTGTATGTGTGTGTGTGTGTTCTTGATGTTATTTAGAAAATAATTATCATCTAGTTGGAAACTTGCTATCTTGCTATTTACTCTAAGTAGAATTAACTATAAATTGAATTTAAGGCCTATTTTTTGGTTGAGTCATTCAAACACATTATGACAAGACTCTGTCCACAATGTTTTAAGTTTTCAAGGTTAATAGCAATACTTTTAGAATTATTTTATTGTTAAAAATATAAAATTAAGTGTGTATGTTTTGATAGTGTATCACCAGCTTTGGTAAAAGGAGCTTATTTTTCATTGTGAATCGTGACTAGCTTTCAGAAATAAAATGATTATTTTGTTTTCATGTATATTTCAAATCTGCATTAAAATCCGAAGTTAAATACTTTATAAATAATACCTTGTAACTGATAAAGTGACGGTGATACTCCTTGCTGCTGTAATAATTATGAGCCTCCATTTGTTATAAACAGCATCCAAACACCTTGGTGTCCTTGACAAAAGAGTGAAGTAAAAGGACTATATTAGCCAATGCTCAAACATAACACTGAGCTTTCTCTGCACATATTTCAGATTTGTCTTGTTTCTTAAGATAACTCTGCATTTATCCTGAATTCCTCTGTAGACCAAAGAGGCCTACATACACGAAGCCTGATAAAATATTAAGAAGAGAATGAAAGTCAGTTCTGTGAAATTTTAAATTTTGCATTGAAAATACCTCTGTGTGGTAGAAGTGTGGAGGTGTCTTTTTCTAATTGAACCGGACCCGGTATCTCTCTCAGGAATCACAGCGCATTGATAACAAGTGTCGTCCCCGGGGATTATGACGGAGATTCACAGATGGATGTGCTTCTGACGTACCTTCCCCAGAATCATGGCCATGGTGAAGTGGGAGCTGTTATCTTCTGGGGACAAAATCAGACATTAGGTGAATTTGTTTTAGGAGTTTTTAATATTTACCATTGGATAGTAACACAAAAATATGCCTGTATTCTTATGTAAATGTAACAAAGACAGTGTTCTGAAACCAGTTCAGAAATGCAGTTCTTGAGTGTCTGTAACTGTCTGTAACAACTTAAAAAAAGGTCCATTTTCTGATTTTTTTATTTTGAACCCAGAACTGGTCTGGGGTCAGTTCCAGAGAACCCTATTTACTCTTGCTAGCTTAAGGAAGAGAGAGGTTTATTAAAAGGCTTTGATGGCTTACAGAATTATTGGGGTCGCTAAAGAACAAACTGTAGGTTGAACTTTCCAGAACAATCTCCAAAGCCTTCAAGGAAGCTACTGCTTTGTTACTGTCAGAAAGTGGCCAGCTGCACAACTGTCAGAAGGCCACTGTGCCTGCTGTGACTCCCAGCAGCCCTCTGGATGTCCTGCACCCGGCCTCCTGATACTCACAGATTCAGCCATTGGACGCTGAGGCAGACATGGCAGACACACAGCTTCCCCGCACCCCTGCCCCCCCCCACACTCACAGCATATCTGGTTGGCAAGGCTCGCATTGTGTTCAGAATCACAGGTGGAAGGCTGGGTGAGAAATGCTGGTTTTGGTTTCCACTCTCCCCAGTCCAGGAAAGCACAGCGAGGTTGGAGCAGAGGTTGAGTCCGTCTGCCATATCCACCCACAAACCAAGTCTTCTCTGAAAAGCCAAGTAATTATACCTGAACAGCCAACTTTGTTCACGGAGCCAGATTTCAAGGCGGGGGTCGAGGGGGTGTAGTTGTGTTTTCAGTAACATTTGGGAACGCAGACAGTAACCTCAATACTTCAGACTCATTCAGCTAATTAGTATCCAGAGTAGCGCCATGTGAGGAGCACTGCCTGTACACATGGGCGACTTAGAGTCGTGGAGGTTGGCTTCTCTACCCCAAAGCCTTACTTGTCAGCTGCACTGATGCTAGACGGTATGTAAAGGAGACTCGCCTAAGTGACTTTTAGGGTGAAGCATCAAATGGAAGTTATTGTCACGCCGGTCTGCACTGTAGAATGTGCTCTCCCAGTATTTTTTTACAAACTTGATGTCCGTTTCAGTTAGAGGAATCAATTAGTGATGAAGCTTGAAAAGAATGAAAGAATGTTTTTCCCTAAGAGTAGATATCAAGAATAATGTAAAACGCCTGCTGATTTGTGTATTTTCTTTCTTTACAGACCCTAACAATATGACCATACTCAATAGGACTTTTCAAGATGAACCACTAATTATGGAGTAAGTATGTGCCGGCTTCCCTTGGAGTGATTTTCAACTTAGAAATATAAAACAAAGTTTTTCACATAAGAAACTATTATACTTTGCTAAGTAGTATTGACACTGGATTCATCTCCCTTTAAAGCTGATAGGGGCCTGTACTCTTGATTATATGATGTTTATTTGCCATGAAATAGAAAAATGAACCTCACTGTTTTGGAAAGAGGAAGAGATTTGTGTTTTCTTTTTGTTTCAGTAGCTTTGAAAGTGTCTTTTCTGGATCTGTGTTGATTCTTGCCATGTCATTACTCAAAGAATTAAGATACCTGTTTGGGGGGTAAAACTATTAAGTGCTTAATTGACATATATCAAGGGTACAGGTTTTCTCCAGTGATTTAGAAAGTTTCTAATTAAAGAGAAACTTTTGGCCTTTTTTACAGCTCTTTAGTGTTATGATTTATTTTCTCAAAATAGACTCATACCAGGATATATTTAATCAAATTTCAGGATTTTGGGGAAAGAGGTAGAGATCGTTTTGGGGACTAAAGCAATGTGTGGCCATGTGCTTGTCCAGAGCTGCCTTTCATGCAGCTGTTAAAACCATAGTCATGATATCAGTGGGTCAGTGACCATTGGAAGTCTAAACTGTAAATCTATGGATTAATCTTAAAGGCACTTAGTTGGTTTCTTTCATAGTTGTATATTTTTTCATTGCTGTTGCAATATTCAGTGGCCAGTTTGAATCTTTATTCCAGCTAGGGATTACTTTTGTGGGTGATTTCTCCTAAGTCCATCTAACTAAATAAGTTGGGTTACGATTCTGAAATAAATGTCTCCTTATCACTCAGGGATAGGCTAGATCACACAGAGGTTACAGACAACCCCAAGCTTTTACAACAAAAGTTTATTTCTTGCTCACATGGCATGTCGGGTGTAAGTCAGCGATCAGCTCCGCTGTGTGCCATGTCCCAGGGAGTCAGGCTGTCAGAGGCCTCATCGTCTGGGGGCTGGCCCGTCTGAAACACAGGTCCTCCTCTGTGCCACGGCAAGCTTCACGAGGGCTGCAGGGTCCAGGTCCCCAAAGTAAACACTAGGCTAGAAGGGACCCATCACTCCTGCTGCCATTTCACTGACTACCGCACACACCAGTGAGCCTTGTCATGTCTGCCACACCTCCCAAAGGTTGCTTTTCTTTGAAAGCTAAGTTAGAGAATTTAATAAAAATAGCTGCTTCATGTTTTTAATGTTTTCTTTTCAGCTTCAATGGAGATTTAATTCCTGATGTGTTCGGTATCACAAATGAATCCAGCCAGCCACAGATACTGTTAGGAGGGTGAGTAAATGTGATTGTACTATTATGTGATGCTGCTCCAGGGACTGTGTCTGTGTGAGCTGATTGCTTAACCTCTGGGAAAAACTCAGCTCTTTAGAAATCCTTGTTCTTAAAGATTTTTAAAAGGGCATTTGGTCAACATATAAGCTTTCCCCAAACAGTTTGCCTTTGATCTGAAACTGCTTTCTATGGAGAGCCAGCTTCATCTCTGTGCCACTGGGGATTAGAGATATGGACTTTACAGGTCCCTCATTTAAATATTAGTTCATTCGATGTTTTCAGAAATGGAAAGATTTAAATAGGAGGGACAGTGCAGTGCTGATCACTCTCCACATTCCTCGTGTGAGTGCCCAGACTCTTAACAACAAGTCTTGTTCCTTGTTGCTTTTGTTTGTTCAGTGAGCAATCGGTAACTGCCTATAAATGTAAACATTTCTCCTGTAAGCTCTGGAAACGTTTCCGTGTACTCTTTAGCCTTGACCAGTATGTGCGCCAGGACTCTTCCTACCCAAGCACACCAGTCTCAGGAAGCCACCTGCCATCTTGCCATTCAAAGCTCTCCATTGTACTTCCTTAGGACTTAAAATACTTCTTCCTAACACAAGAATTCAGGATAGTAAGAGTTTTTTTCATGACATACCTTCAGCTTGGTTAATTTCTTTTGTAGCTGATAAGGCAAAAGTTTAGTTCAAGAATACAGAACACATTTATTTATTTTTTTGACTTTCCAGCAAGCACAGACAACCCTTTGTATCAGTCTGTTTTCCCAGGTCCTTGGAAAGGGAATGAATTTTTCCTCAGTGCTTTGGAAAAGTAGTGCATTTTTATGATTAGTTTTTGAGATGTGAGTCACAGGTGCACACACACAAGTAAATTATCAAAAATTAAGGTATTATGAGGAGAAACTCATGTTTCCTATCACTTTTTCTGAAGATGTTCAATGAAGAATATGGGTGTTTTGATGCTATTCATAGTGACCTTTGAAAGACTTACTGTGAGTCCTGAATGAGAAACCTGTTTTTCCCCCAACTTCAAAAAATATCTGGAAGAGAACCCTGCTTTAGAGACCAGTTGGATGGAGATGTGCTTCGTCTCTGTGACCTGGGTGGGCAGCTGAGTGTAGGTGGGGCTAGGAGGCCGCACAGGCCACGCCCACCAGCTTGTCCTGGGCCCCTGGGACTCCTTGGGACACCCTGTGCTTTCCTTCTCCTCAAAGGCAGACCGACCTGTGATGAGAGTGCAATGCTGACTTCTGACCTGATTGATTTCCTGATGACCTCTACTGTAGTCAGAGAAATACCTGGACAGTCTTTAATATGATATAATCTAGAAATTAAAACTTATGAAACAGCTATTGTTGATAATTCAAAAAATAAAACTTCTAACATCTTTATGGATTTTCTATTTAATCTGCAAGAAACCTATTTAGTATATCATGTGATACTATCATAGCTGATTTCTGAATTCTATATTAGATTTTTTTTTTTCCTCTGATGATTCTTGAAAAACTATAGCTTTTCAAAGTTGTTCTGCCTAAGGACATGTTCACTTTTATCTTTTATGCACTATGCTCTGGTATACTTCAGCATACTGGAGTAATACTCTGCTATTTGATGATATTTTTTATTTACACTTTAATTTCAGATTAAATAATAGCAGCTAACCATATTGTAAGTAACAAGCTTGTATCCAAGATGTGTCCTGATTCCAATTTGAAGAATGAAGATCTATAAAATGGCGGAAAGAATTTCTGTCACCAGCGTTGTCAGGATGACTGGCCTAGCAATAGCGTGATTCAACAACAGAACGCTGCATGTGCCCCTGCGGGGGCAAGCGTTCATGTGTTACTAGAACAAGACAAGTGGACTAAGGCCGTGTCAGTTTTATAAGGTACAGACATATGCATAGGTGCATAAGTGAAAAAGCCATCAGCACTGACAGTTTAGACTATTCACATGACAGCTGTTTGGCAGCCCCGTCTGAACTTATCAAGAAATTTAACCTACCTTTTGCAACTTAAACATTATGTTTTATGGGTATGCCAGACCCCAGGTTATCTTAAATTTAATTAAATTCTGCCAACACCTCAATTTCATGGGAAATTTGCATGATCTTTACTAGGGTGCTACATGCTCCCTTTGGATTGTGCTGGAAATCCCGTGGCTGTGTCCTGGCCCAGGGCAGGCGTGGAAATAGGAAAGGGCCCACCAGTTGAAGTAGCATGACCGGTTTGGCTGCAGTAAAGGTGCAATGGTCAGCCCAAGCAGGGAATGCCAGCAGGCAGAAGACCCCCTTGTAATGGTACGGTGGGGGCACCTCGCAGGACACGGGGGGTGCCAGAGACCATCGAAGGGTGGTCAGTGGTGAAAGTGAGACTTCAGCTTGTGCCGCAGCCTCACTTCATGACAACTTGAAAGAATGTAATAATGTGCCGCGTTACCTAGAAGTGACACCTTGCCGTTTCAGCGTGAGGCCTGCTTTTGCAGGGATGGGAGATTGTCGTTAATGAGCATTTTCCATAAAAGAGTATTGAAACTGATGTTACATAAGCATTCAGAATATGCGTATTGTTTTTAGTACTGAAATGAAAAAACTTGTACCTGTAATTTTCATCAAAGCCAAGTGATGAAATTGGTCGGTTCAGATTTTCCATGATTCACATACTGATGGGTGAGGCCCAAGTTGTATACTTGGGGATATTAATGTAGGCATGTGACAGAGAAATTCTTGACCGTACTCTGTTTACTTCACAAGTGAGCACCTGAAAACTTTGAATGTGATATTAATGGCACTGAAAGCAGCCATTTTTAACTGTTAGTTATGTGGGTGGGTTTTTTTTTCTCTCTATTATCAGAAAAACTCTCTTTTATTTAAACATAGTTAGCGACTCTCAATCCAGAGGAATAAATCCCTAGTTTTTCATGTAGCCTTTTATCATTTCTCAAATTATAACCAATGACTGATTTATTAAAGTACACTTACTGCTGATTTTCTTTGTTTGCTGATCCATTACAGGAAATTTTGCAATTAATGGAATAATAATCTGATATTGTGTCACTTAAATCTACTGTTTAGAAAGAATATGAAAATTATGATGAGCTTATAATACAAAAAAAAATAATAACCCTCAAGGCAGCTTTTAACTTTGTGATCAGCGTTTTAGTACTCATAATCTTAACCAAAAAAAGATGGCTTTGAGATGACTCAGAGTTTCTTAGAATTCCCCTAGCAGCCCCCTCCCCTTCTCCCCTCATACACCATTTATATTTCCAACAGTATTGTTTAAGGGAATCTATTAGAACTTGAGAAATAAGTTTGTTATTGGTGTTTCCATAGAAACACTGCATCAGGTTTTTAACTTCTTTCCTAAAGAACTTTGTTATTGGAGATAATTTATTCTCCCACTGTTTCTCACCTAATTTTTTTTTTCCAAAATTAAGCCACAGAAATAATGAAATGTTTTAGTAGATGACTTAAAATTGTATATGCTGTGATTATTTCAAGCGGCATGTTAGGTAAGGGTCTATATTTATTTCCTGGCATCCCTCCAGAAGCTTTTGAGGGGCCAAATGACTTAGGGATCCCTGGTGATTTATCAGTACTGCTTTGTTTTAGGTTCTGGTTGGCATTGTTGCATGTAAGTGAATTTTTGTTTGTTTCTAAGTAAATGATTTAAGACGTTACTCTCAAAATTTGTTTACTTTGCTTTTAGTTAAATCTTAGATTTTTAGATGTGTATTCTTTGAAGTAATCATTCCAAAAGATACCAGCTTCTTGAGAAAAGCATAGTTTTATAGTTTCTGTGTAAAGAAATTTAATAGTAATATTTTACCATGAATACTAATATTTAAAAAGTGTCTTGATTCAGCATATTTCTATTAGCATATATCACAATTTTCTTCGAGTAGAAATCATTTTGTTTTATTTCATTACTATTTTCAATTGTATTGAAAAGGTCCATTTTAGAACAAGCTAGAATACCACTGAACTATATACTTAAAAATGGTTAATATGATAAATTTTATGTTATCTATATTTTACCACAATAAAAAAACATTGGGGGGGGGGAATCCCCAAAAGCCAAGCAAGCGTAAGATTAGTATATATTACCATTTCAATTTAGGGTAAAATGCATCAAAGTAGTTTGTAATTTCTGGAAATAAAGGTTAAGTCCTCTTTCATTAGATTCCTATTGCATTTTTTTTTTTAAGCTGAGCCATCCTGCCACCTGTTGGCAGCTCAGCGGCTGCTCAGCTCGGGCCGGGAATCGAACCGCTGTTACTCAGAGCTCAAACTCTTGAGCGAGCTCTTAACCAACTGAACCACGCTACTGCATTTTTTAAAGATATGTATGTATGCTGTTGAAAATGTCTCCCACATACTTGACTTTCAACAGTCTGGAGGCCTGGGTTCAGCCCACATTTGTCCTGAGTAGAGCTGTGGGTTCAACTGTGGTGGCATGTGTTTCTCTTCAGACCGCCCCTGGCCCTTATGTCCTCTCTGCCTCCCACCCCCTGCCCCCGCCCCCGCCCCCCAGGAGCCGGTGCTGCCGGCACTCTTAAGTGTAATGTTACTGTTGCGGACCCTGTGGAGGTAGGAAATAGTGGGGTAAAATAAAGACATGGTTGAAAGAAATCTCCACGTTTCCTCTTTTGAATATAAACTGTTATTTCTGAGAGATGCTTAAGAATTATCTGGTGCATCCCACACTTTTGAGGGGTTTTTTCTTTTTTTATAACCACCGTCCCCCAAGCTACTATCCCTCTGACATCTTATATACCTATTACAATATCATTGACGATCCTCCTTATGCTGTACTCCACCTCCTGTGACTATATATATATATATATATATATATATATATATATATATTCTTTATAGTTGACATGCGGTGTTATTCTGCTTCAGCTTCAGGTGTACAGCGCGTTAGTCAGGCGTCTCCACTGTCTATGAAGGGATCCCCTTGCCTTTGGGTTTTGATAGAGGCCCAGAGTGAGTGCATGACCCATCAAGTGTGTACCAGAGTGAGTGTCTTCTCCAGCGATGGCTCTTTTCCTGCTCTTCTCATATAACCTGCCTCTCACTGACCCCTTCAGAAGCGGCACACCACAAGACTGCACCATTTACCTGTACTCTGTGAGGCTTGGGGTTAGATGGAGAAGGAAGAGAAGAAAGAGAATCTTAAATAAGCCTTTTTAAAAAAAAGATATCCAGTGAGTAACTCTGGTTGGCACTTTCCATCAGCTGTCTCATATTTTTTCTCACAACAGATAGCTGTGTGGCCAGAGGCTCATTCAAATGAAGTGACCAGTGCGAGCTTCCAGTATATAAATAAACAGTAGACCTGGGATTGGAACCTTGGTCTCCCAAGCTCTAAAACCTCTGTTCTTGCCTTCATTCCTGCACAGCCATCACCACTGTGTAGTCACTCAGGGTCTTTGATGGGGCTCCTGTGTGGCTAGCCTGCACTTCCCCATAGCCTAGTGCTGTTTTCCAGGAGGCATAGGTGTGAGCATCAGATCTCGTAAGGCTCAGACCTGGAAGTTACACAGCATCACTTCTGCTACGTTCTATTGGTCAAAATAGATGAAAGAACTAGCTAAGACTCAAGAGGATTAGAGCATTACTGTCTCCACCTGTGGATGTGGGTCTGGCAAAATCAAAATGCAGGAGAGCATGTGGGATGCCAAGTAATGTGCCATCTTTGGGAACACAGCTCAATAGGCTGTTTATGTACTGGAAGTAAAGACCCACAAAGGTGCAAGCACAGATTATCGAAGCAAATCACCTTCTAGATCCTCAGGATTCAGAGGCACTCCTACCTGAACTAAAATTGATGTGCCTGAGAATATACCTGTCTTCGCTATAACTTTCTCCTCTGTCCTATAAGAATGCCATATTCCTTACCCTTAAATTTTACTAATGATATGTTTCCAGGGAGTAAAAACCCACAGGGCATGAAACACAGATATCCTAAACTAATAGAATTTCCAGTCTTTCTCTTTCTTAATATTTATTTCTCTTAAGATGAAGCTTGTCTGCAAAAGGAGGCAATTGCTCTGCGCTGAGATTTTCTGGATTCAGATGTGCGAGGTAGAGTGGGGTTGTGGAAGCAATAACAGTTTTTGTTTTAATGACTTTGGCTCTTCCATCCCCTGACTGTTATCAGAGAATCTTATTGTTGAGAGAGGGCCCTGGGGGAACAAAGCAAAGAGCATCCCTGAGAAACACGAAATTCCACAAGCAGACCTTTCAGCTGTTCTTAGGACCCATCCCTAGGACACATCATTAACTGGAAGGAAGGTATCTTTCATGCCAACATAGTTTTGAATGATAATGATTGTTTCAGATGTGACTGGAATGTTCTCTAGGACTACCAGACTCATGGGTAAAACTTTTACCTAATTCCTTTGATATTTGCTATGAATTTTTCTATAACGTAGCTAAAACCTATTTTACCAAATCGTATCAAGATAATTCCATTTAAAGTCAAGCATCTTATTTTGTCTTATGAAATATTTACTATTTTTGTTCTGTTAATAGAAAATATTGGGTTGTCAGAAAAGTCATGACGCATGTTCGCGACATATGGCACTAGTTCATTTTTGGAAGTACTAGAATCATTTGCATCTATATTATTTCTATGTCATTTGACAGCTGACAGTTCTAGCTTCATTCTAAAAAAAAATTGAGTGATTTGGTTGAGATTTTACAGCAAGTTGAAGATGGAAGACCAAACTGTGCATTTTTGCCATATTTTACTGTTTTACTTCCATAAAGGGAAGAACGCGCGTCAAGCTTGTGAAAAGTTGCATAAAGTTTACATAAATGCTCTACAAGAGCGTCAGTGCCAACGATGGTTCACGAAGTTCCATGCTGGTGATTTTGATCTCAATGACGCTCCTCGGTCAGGGAGGCCCACCGAGGTTGATGACAACAAAATAAAGGCATTGATCGAGTCAAACCCACATTACATGACACAAGAAGTTGCATAAACATTGAACATCCATCATTCAAGCATTCATGACCTCGTGAAGAAGCTGGGATACATAAGCAAGCTCGATATTTGGGTTCCGCATGAACTCAAAGAAGTTCATTTGACGGCATGTATAAACATCTGCAATATGCTTATTAAAAATGAGGAAAACAATCCTTTTTTGAAGCGACTGATAACTGGTGATGAGAAGTGGATTGTTGACAACAATGTGGTGTGCAAACGGTCTTGGTCCCGACGTGATGATTCGCCTCAAACAACATCGAAAGCAGACATTCATCAGAGGAAGGTTATGCTCTCAGTGTGGTGGGATTTTAAAGGTGTTGTGTTTTTCGAGCTCCTACCAGGAAACCAAACAATCAATTTGAATGTGTACTGTCTGCAATTGAACAGTTTGAACGAATCCATCATCCAGAAACATCCAGAGCTTGTTAATTGTAAAGGAGTTGTGTTCCATCGCGACAACACGAGACCACACACAAGTTTGATCACCCATCAAAAATTATTGGAGCTTGGATAGGATGTGATGCCACACCCACCATACTCGCCTGACCTTGGACCATCAGACTTCCACTTATTTCACTCTCTTCAAAACTCCTTGCGTGGTATAACATTCAATTCAGATGAGGCTGTAAATCAGCACCTTGTCCAGTTTTTTACAAATAAAGACAGGTCCTTCTATGAACAAGGAATTATGAAGCTCACTGAAAGATGGCAAAAGGTTATCGAACAAAACGAGCAATATATCATTGATTGATCTTTGTTATTTATATAAATAAATGAACTTTGAAAAACAGACAAAATACGTCATGACTTTTCCGACAACCCAATAAGTTTACATGCTGGCTCCTGAGCCAATTTTTTGGCAATATATACTTTCCCGTATATTAAAGTCTTAAGAAAATTTATAACAAATTTCTTATTTCTTTAGATATAACATCTAAAGAAATAAGAAAGAACTGGTATTATTTCTCATTTTTATACTCTGTTTTTATCTAATTCTGTCAAAAGCCAGACACCAAAGTTCAGTATTCATGCCCACTTGCTGGAGGACCACTGTGGCTTCACCATACTTCTCATGTTGTAAATTGTTTTAGCTGTATCACATCACATTGGTAGAAGCTCACTAATGATGAACAGCATGTTGCCTTACCACCTGTTTTTGTAACCTATTTTATAAAAATAGATAAATCAATTTTATCAGAATTTCATTATTTTATTCTTGACTGCTTTTAGTAATCTGTCCTACAATATTTATGTACTTTTCTCTTCTCTGTTTATAATATTCCTTGAAACACAATTGAAAAAATGAGATCAAACTCGGACAGAAAATAACTCATTTGGAGATTGGTTTGACAGTGAGGATTGTCTTTGCAAATTAAATTGTGTGGAAGACATTTTCCATAAATTGAATGCGCTCCATCAGCAGCTCTAAATTTTTTTTATTTTTTTGCTTTTTTATGGACAGTTTTAAACATGCAGAGGTGAAGAGAATGGAACGATAAATTTGTATATAATGCACCTGTCGTGTAGCTATAGTTATCAACTCTTGACCAGCCTTATTTCATTCTTGCTTTTTCCCTTATTTCTCTCTCTTCTAGCCCCCTCCTCAGACATTTTTAATCTTTAACTATTTCAACATATAGCTCTAAAACATAAGGATTTAAAAAAATAATCACAATATATTTATCATACCTAAAAAATTAGGAATAATTTCATAATATTATATTTCCAGGGAGATTTTAATGAAAATAGATGAACAAGATTTCTTAGCATTTATATCTATAAAGATGAAGAGTAGGACTAGACTTTGTGCTGATTCCTGTCTCATCCTAGCAATGTCGTAAGGATGTATAAGCTAATACATTTTGAAGTTCCATTCATCTGTTCAAAAAAATGCATTTCCAATAAAATTTTACTTTTGGTTTAATAAGTTATCAAACTATATAGTGTGTGTTCTTAACAACTGTACACTAGTACTTAAAATAACTCAACCTCAGAGATTTTTTTTAAATGCTTAGATACATAAAACCAATGAATTACCAATTCTAATTTATATACCAATTTGTAGATTGGTACAAAAAATACTTTTTTTGGAGACATGATAGAACGATCACTAAAAAGACTTCAGATATAAAAGTATTTTACAATATGATAAAGTTCTGCAAGAAAAAATGGAATAGAAGTACAAGTTCAAGGGTGAGGGGGAAGATGTACAGTTGAAGCCCGTGTTCGCGTTGGTTGTGTGTGTGTGTGGATGATAGTGCTGGTAGCAGCTCAGTGTGGTATTTGTATTCCACTGGAGACATTTTTAAGGGTAATCATTTTAAAATCTCGATAATTCTAATAGATTTGGAGATGACCTATTTTGTAGCTGTTTCAGGTGATGAAAACATTTACATTCTCAGAAATCAACTGAAACGAGTTAAGGGATACACAGTTTTTCACAATTCTTTTAGAGCCTATCTGAGCAAAAGCGTTTGAAGACCACTGGACGAAAGAACGAGGCAGCCTGGGGGAGCATGCCAGACCCATCTCCTAGTAACTGCCTTGACCTTTGTATCTTAAATAGTGGTGATTCAGTAGAGGCTGGCAACTGAAAGACGGGGGGATCAGCGGTCATTTCAAAGAGCAGTTACCATAGGCAACCAAAAGCTACAGTTGACATGAATTACATTTAAATTTATTCTTTGATAAATACTGTTCTTTGAGATGAAGGGTGATGGTGCCCACGTATTAGAACACCTTGACATAGTTACGTTTGCTGTGTGTGCGCACAGGGGGCAGCTAATAATTGGAATTTTCTGCAGAGGTCAAGACATGTCAACAAATAGATTTAACGTGGCTCAGAACTGCCCACTTTTTCATCTCCTCCCTTTTCTTCCTTTGCAATCAGTTGTGTGTATTTGTGGCCTTCAAGTGGAGTTGAGCACATATACGAGGAGATGATAGTTTATACGAGTGTAGTGGCTTGAAAAATATGGTGTCTGCTTATTATTGAAAAACTGATGTGCAGAAAGAGCAACATTAAAGGTAGACATGCATTTTATTTTGAACTGTAAAATTTTAAATAATTTAATTCTGATAGTCAACTGTATATATATTCAGTTTTCAACTGTCTTAAAATGCAGCCCCAAAACCCCAGCAGCTCTTCCCCCGCCTCCCCACCTCTGGTGCATATTTATCAGAATGTTAATGGACACTGTGTAGAAAGCATAAGGATCGGCTAACTGCCTTTTAAAAGATATTAAT